TGGTATCACCGAACCGATGCCTTCTTCGGCTGCCGGTGACGTCGCTCCAATAGCATCATGCCATGAAGAAAGCCCCCCACTCTCTCCACTCCAATTCGCATGCACTTAACAGAGCCACTGCGCTGCGCACACGCCAGCCCTCTGCAGCCCCTCACACCGGGGAGAATCACGCTGAAATACCGGTGCATCGACCCTGTAAAACAGCCCGACAGAGCCAGAGGCACAAAACCAGGAAACAATATCCTGACAGATCCAAGAAAAGTTACATAACACCATGTGAGAGATTCCCAAACAGCCTACGAGGCGATGCGAGGAGGCGTTTTACTCCTCAGCCGTCTGGTGCTGCCATCACTACTGCACAAGGACCACGGAAATGAGCTGTCACATCTGTCAAACCTCCCCTTGAAACCCCCAGTCCTAAAAATCAATCACTAGTGGAAGCCTAGGGAGGCAAAATCAGGCACAAAGCTGAAGAAGTGGAAGCTACTGCGGCTGTAAATGTTGCTGGAAACGGGGAGTCAGGTGGGGACCGTCGGGGACCACATACCCAGTCTGAGCTCTCCAACGTAAATGGCAACTTCCCACACTCCACGGGAGCCTGCCGTTTGATGAAAATACACGCCTTCTGCCATATGTGCACACAGTCTACACCGCCGACGCACCGGCAGCAGCGCCGGGGCTACACGGAGAGAGACCCGCTGTCAACAAACCAACCCCCGGCAAACAAACACTTCACCGTCCACTCTCTTCTCACACTCACTAAGCCGCCTTACCTGCGATGGTGACCCGCTTTATCTTTCTTCCCCTTCGGCCTCCTCTTTCTGGCCTGGATGGCCATCACTGCCGGCGTTCATTCACGGGCAGCGAACGACGTCCGAGACCGGGGAAGGGTGTAGGAGGGACGGGGAGAGAGAGAGAGAACAAACACACATCACCATCAGGCTCTGGCTGCCATGGGTCATATGTAGCGTCGTTTAGCGGTGCCCCGTGAGGCTACGTGCACCCGTAACTTGTGCCACCTTTCACATTAAATTCAACCACGAGTGGGTTAGCGTAGCCAGGCTGGAGGCTGAGGGATACGCACCTTTCCTGGAGCTCATGTTTCCTCCTCTTCCCTCAGCAGGAGCGGGCAGCGCGGTGGCAGCAGCCGGATCTCTCCCTCTCTGCCTCACCTCTACCTCTGGATGACACGCGCTCCCTCTGTCGTCTGAAGCAGGAGTCGCGTGCAGACCAGCCCCACCAAACCCACATTAATGTACACATTGATGTGTTAACAATGCGGTTTGTTTTAGGGTTCATTCTTCGTCTTCTGGGTGGATTTATGCAGTAAAAATACATAAAATAGAATAAGGACAGACGCCCATCTCAAGAAAAAAATTACATTCCCTTTGTAAAATACAGATTTATTTGAAAATCAATATTATTTATACACAGGAAACACGCTTAAATGCTAGAAGCATGTTAAACTTTGTGTATTAAATTAAATGTGAAATACCCCAAGGAGAAGAAGTCCTGCCTAATCTAATCTAATCTCACAAATTACCTTAAAGCAAGGTGTTATTTATACATGAGATTAGCTTTATTCTCAAATTCTGACGTTGCTCTTACTTTAACTGCAACATAAATGTGTAGACAACGCATTTATTTACCAATTGATTAACAATGGCGGGGCCTAGGGAAAAGTTATAACTGTGCTTTATTATCACTGATATTAAAATTAATGCTAAATCAGCAGGAACGTTTACTCAACAGTAACAAAGAATTCAAGCTAGCTAACTAGTATAATGCGATTATTTTAAACTAAAGTGAGCTAGTTAGCTAGTGCTGCAGCAAGTTATTGTAGTATAACGCTATTAGTTTAAAGTCAGCTACTTAGCCAATGCTACATCAAGATAATGTGGTGTGTTCCTAATTTGATTTAAAGTCAGCTAGCTAGCTAATGCTACCACAGGCAAATATAGCATAATGTTAGTCTAACCAAAGTCAGCTACTTAGCTAGTGCTACACCACGTTTCTGCAGTATAACGTTATTAGCGTAGCATAAAGACAGCTAATTAGCTAGTGCTACACCAAGCTAATATAGCATGAGGCTATTAGTTTAACCTAACGTCAACTAGTTTGTATTTTAGACGGATAATACAACATTTTTAGATTTTAACTGCTGGTTAGTTTTTATTTTTACTGTACTGGATTGGGCTTCTTACCTTGAGGCAGAACCTTACCCTGGTTTACAAGAATATGTAACTGTAGTTTGTCTCCAGTTTCATTCTTCTTGTGGGTGGACTGACACTGTTAACACAAATAACAAAAAACATCTATGTAACACATATATACATTATACATTTTACAGATTGCCCATGTTTTGTTAAACTGCAGACAATATCTAATAAAATCACAGAAAATTGTGTCTGTTTACATATTCTATCCATCCATTATCTATACACTGCTTAATCCTCACTAGGGTTGTGGGGGGGCTGGAGTCTATCCCAGCTGACTCAGGGCGAAGGCAGGAGACACCCTGGACAGGTCACCAGTCTATCACAGGGCTACACCTAGTGACAGACAACCAAGCACACTCACATTCACACCTACGGACAATTTAGAATCACCAATTAACCTCAACATGTTTTTGGACTTTTTTTGGGAGAAAGCCGGAGAACCTGGAGAGAACCCACACTGCACGGGGAGAACAAAATCCATGCAGAAAGATCCTGGGTGTCCCCACCGGGACACAAACCGGCGACCTTCTTGCTGCAGGCAATGATGCTAACCACTTCTGCACCTTACAGACCCCTGTTTACATATTGACTGTACAAATGTACAAATAATAGTTTGTTCTTTTGCTATGTGTGACACTGAAATGACACCATTTTACTATATTTAAATTAGCTAAAAATTATTTTACAGATATTTATCGTCTTTTCACAGTTGAACAGTTTGACAGTATTCCGCTGACTTTTAACATGTTTTTTTTCCTCTTAGTTTTGCTTCTCACTATCAAAACAATTCTAACAATAACGAAGGTTAGTAATACTTTCCATCCCCTACCTGTATAATTTATGGCACTGTGTCCAGGAGCCGCCTCATAGATTATCTTTGTACTGACTCTGGTAAAAGAATCAAAAAGCATAGAAAAGTGGCTTCAGCGGCTTCTAAATATGAAATGAAGAAGAAACTCTTTCGCTTGAACCATTTTGACTTTGAAGAGTTTATTCAAAACTAGCACATGAGCAGACTTCCAAGTATTCTAAGTATAATTCTAATATAAATGCAATAATACAGATTATGTGTATATCACTTAGAAAAATCAGCACTACAAAGTACTTGACAACAAACATAAAAGACACAATAAAAAAACACAGTCATGTAAAAACAGAAGAAACATTCGAACTGATGGATGATTTAAAAATAAATAAATAATACAGAGAGAGGCTGAAATATAAAAGCAGTGGGTTAAATTCAACTTAAAGTAGAGCAATCCAAGACTCAAGCAGAACATCAAAAATAAAAATTGAACAGCCGAGAACAAAAGTAGAGCTGACCTTTGAAAGAACATTTATAGAAAAATGTATACATCACCCCAAAGACTCACCTTTTAATTTAAACACTTAACAGACTTGACAGAAACTTGCTGCTTATCTTTAACACACATTAGAATTATGTCTTGGTCGGTCCTTCAATGAAAACACTTCTAACCATACAACTGTTGGTGCTGAATTCAGTCTCTGCTCCTGCAGTCTTCTGATTTATTTCACTGTCACTGTGAGCAGCGTCACTCGTTGCCTTTGAACCTGCTGTGGTACAAAATGGCTTCAACAGCTGCAGCTTTGAGTAGTCCATGTTAAGTGAAGGAGCAAGCTTTTAAGCTGAGAAAATGTATTTGTAAACAGTTCGAAATAATGTACAAACTCCCCAATATCAGAGCCTCTGTTATCTCAGACCTAATCTTTTCCTACTTAAACAAGAGGTTGCTGGATTTCAGGTACAAGTAGACTGTGGGTTTATTACTGTTTTCTTGACAATAGCAGATTTTGATTCATATTAATGTCATTAGTAATGATCAACAGTACTTATTCACTTCATGTCTAGGATGGTGGTGGACCTACTAAATCTCTTTGGATACTGGGCCTCCTCAGTGAAAAGGCACCGCTGGGATTCGAACCCAGGATCTCCTGTTTACTAGACAGGCGCTTTAACCAACTAAGCCACGGCGCCGGTACCCTGCGTAACTAGCGTTAATATTCAGAATCGCACATGCCGTATAGCACATAATCAAGCGGTGGATCATGACGATCTATTGACAACACTATACTTATTCAAAACCTATGTCCCTCTGAGAGAAACATGGCATTGTTGGCTGCCAATAATGTAGGTTACACCTTGAAATCTTGAATTTCCCCAAGGGGTAGAATAAAGTATCTATCTATCTATCTATCTATCTATCTATCTATCTATCTATCTATCTATCTATCTATCTAGTCTGTCAATCGATCTAAAATTACTGCATTAGAAATAATACTTAGTGAGTAAACGTATTAAAGTACAGTCAGGACAATGTACTCTAAGTAGGCGATTACACGCATTTATGCTCCATATGTGATTAGATTATCACTGCTCATTGTTGATTAATGTACAGACAGCATTTTAGATGTGGAGGACCGCAACATTTCATTTATTTATTTTTTTTGGAACTGTATCAAAGATTTACTCTTACTATTGTTCGTGAGTATGATATAAATACAACATTTTTCAATTCGTTAATCATTCATTAATTGTTTTTTTTGTTTGTTTGTTTGTTTATATATACAATATTAGGTACAATATTTCTCAGGGATATGTAGAGGAGTGTAAATATGAAGAACATGAGAGAGCAGTTTGCTTTTTAAACCTCACAGTCTGCCGGCAGTACGTGACTGTGGCGCAACTCCATGATTGGCAGCTCCTTAAAGCAATCATTTTCAGGGGGAGGGCTTTAGCGTCGGATCTGTTTCCGGAACTAAATTCAGACACACTCACACAAACACACACGTGTGAGAAAAGCTGGCGTTCAACGCTGTCCGCTCTCTTCTGAATATCGCAAGGCACAGGTAGGTTATATCGGAATCTCAGTAACAAACAGCAGCGTTTTCCGCTTTGTTTTACCGACGTTTCCGTTCACCTTTGCCGTTAGAAACATTAACTTTAGCCGGCGATGTTAGCTAGCTTGTTGACCTGGCGAATTTGCTAGCAGCTCTTTGCTAAGTTTGGAGTGACGGTTTATATGTTCACTTTGTCTCTTAGTGCCTGTGTCCAGCTCAGGTCCGGTAAGAGGTCTCTGCAAGTGTTCAGCAGGTGGACGACCAGAAGTGTTGCTCAGGTCCACATCTGTCTCTTGCGACCTCAGCCCCGCAAACAGTAAGTCATCATTTTCTAGGCCAGTAATGCTGATTTGTTTGTTTTGTCATTACTCATACAGACAGTGCAATGCAGTCTTAGCAGCACTGTATTGATGTCATTGTAGCAGTTTTAGATTTTTAGAAACAAGTACAGCAGTTGAGGTATGTGACCAGTTATTGTGTATTAAATCTGGCTGGTGCATCATGCCAACATGACATTCCTCTGCATTGCTAACTTAGCAGGGCTATGTTAAAGAAGTGATTAGTATTGGCAAACTTACTAAAAGCTTAAAATACAAACATGTAAACAATATGTCTTTGGGTGTGCCTGTGGTCAGTGGGTTTAAGTTGATAACAGTGTAGTCGAAACATCCTGGTCCCTGGTTTAATTGCAGTTGGGGACCTGTGGGGTTAATTTTTTAGATTATTTTATCATTATTGTTATTATTATTATTATTATTTGCTGTCAGGTCTTTTCTGTCTACTGCATAATGAAGGCAAACAGTGTGCCACCGGTGTTAATTTCACAGATTTTAGAAGGTTCGTTTTCAGAACCCCTGAGGACATCATACAATTGACTACTGCTAACAAGTTAACAAAATTTAATGTATGAAATTACCAGACTCTCTCTTCAATTGTTATATTTGCCAACAGAATTGACACTCTGTCCTTTCCTCGCAGCTTGGCTCTGATGGCAGAATCAGAGCCCGCCCCTGTTCCTGTCCAAGTCGGAGAAAAAAGAGGCTGTCCAGAGGAGAAAGAGGAAGACACACCGTCAAAGAAACCAAAAGTTGAGGATGATCACAAAAATGGGGGTCCTCCCCACCAAGATGAGGAGGAAGAGCCTGAAGGGGAAGCGTGTGATGGAGAGGAGGACGGTGAGACCTTTGCTGACATGATGAAGCATTGCCTCACTGAGCTGGATGTGGGCATCCTGAAGTATGTCAGTGACCATGAGGGCTTCTCAGGTATCCTGAAAGAAAGGTTTGTTCATCCTCTAGAGTCAGTAAAGGATTTGCATCGTTTGCCTTAAAAATATTTGGTTTGATTTGTTTAACAGATGATTTCTTGTGGTTTGTACGCAGATATTCTGATTTTGTTGTGCATGAAATCAACAAACAAGGCAAGGTAGTGCATTTAGATGACTTCTCTATCCCAGCAGAGGCTGAGGTAAGACATCAATTATGTTTGTTATTAAGATTCACTAATATGGTAAGGTCTGTAAGTGTACCAGGAAGAAAATATCAGTCTACAGTTATTTGTTAACTTGTTGAAAATGGTAAGAGACAAAACTTGTTTTAAACTTGGTAGCAAGTCTTAGATACATCATACATAGCTCAGGTTTCATTGCAGTAAAGAGTTCTGCACCTTTATGGAAACAGCACAACCATATGTGGAAGTAGAGAGACTTCAAAAATATCTGTTGTGCAGTTTAGCAGAAAATGCTATAGTTTTAATGCCATAAGTCATAAAAAAAGAAAAGACTCAAGTCAAATTGCTTTAATTATTTATTTTACTAAAATTGGAAAAAACTGCAGTTGACATGTGCAACATTTGTGCCAACAGGTCTCTATACTATCGATTATTCTCTACTTATGTTTTAATTTGTGTTAATACTTGTCTCTGATCTGCTCTGTAAGCACAAACTTCAGCCAAAAGGTTTCCAAATTTTTGTCTTGTGATTTTGATCACAGCTTAGTCACTGATTGTTTCAAAGCTTTGCCAAAGAGTGCAGATTTTTTTTCTGGTTAGCACAAATGGTTTATTTTTGGTGAATTTTTAAATGAGACATATAGGGGAAAAAACAATTTTGAGGAAATACCATGATTTTAAACTTAAATTTGATTGCGTTTTACAATGTACACGTCACAGATGAGTAGTTTAAGGACCATCGAAAAGTTAAGTCATTTATTCTCTCGGTTTTTTGCAGTTTCTGGCTTTGGTAAATGGTTAAGAGTTAACATGTTTTTCAAGCACACCGTTTGGGGTTCAGAGGATTAAAGAAAATCTTTACCTGGTTTAACAGTACTTTCTAAGATTTTTGTGTCGTGTTTCTTGTGTTTTAGGAAGTCCCAGAGGTTGAACAGCAGCCAAAGGAATGTGACGACGTGCTCACTGAAGAGCAGAAAAAGCAGCTAGGGGAGCTGCAGCTCTTCAAGAATAAAGAGGGAGATGTCTCCATTGAGGTTAGTTTACAGGAGTGCAGCCCCCTTTTAAGAAACAAAATGCCGTCATTTGAAAAGAACATGAATGTCTTTTAAAGCTTTTATGTAATTTCATCACTCATCTGTTTAACATCTGTAGGTAATGGATGATACAAAAGAAAAACGAAGGCTAGTCCACATAGCCATTAAGACTCAGTTTCCTGGTCTGGAAACAAAGACAGAAGAGAAGGAAGGGAGCAAGTTTATAGTGGCCTACCATGCTGCTGGGAAGAAGGCTTTAGCAGGTATGTAGAGAGGAAACTGAGCCAGACCTTAGCTGTAAACCATCAGGGCAGAATTCTCAACTACAAAATTAATTTGATGGTCCAAGAAAGGATTTACTGCATGTCCTCCTTACTTCTGCTTTTATGTTAGCTTCTGCAGTGCATGTGATCCAGAGCAGGAAATTATAATGCATGAGATGCACCTGTGCATATGCATGGTCAACACACCTGCATGAGTCTTCATAGATATTTACTCATAGTGGTTCTTAAACGAGCATCTCTTTGGTTACGGATTGACTTTTTAGTCCAGAGGAATGTTCCAATGAAGATTTTGACTGAACAATCTGAAAAACAGCAAAGATTAGCAGCGCCATGTTGGTGCTTTTAAAATCTCTGCTGCATAAACCATTTAAAAACCTCACTCCACTCTGAGGCCCATGCATGAGATCACACCCCTGACAGCTCTTCCCGCAGTCCGTCAGAATCTCTTTCTTAGTAACATTATTCTATCCTCCTTTTGCTCTTCTCTGGTGGATAGAAGTCAAAACGACTGCAGGTAAGAAACAATTCTCCACATAGCACAGAGGAAGGGATTAAAACTAAAGTAGAGTAAGGTGTTGGTAGTTAAAATATTCTATGTTGTAATATCAGTTTAATTATATTTCCATATTGTCTTGCAATGTCGTTATTGGATCAGTGAGTGAAAAAAACAATTAGCAACTGATTAAAAGCTGAGGTATTTGGAACACTGCTCAAATGTGTGGAAGTGCAGAATCTTTAAGGGTAATGCTGGAATATTGGGAGAATTTTTAAAGAAAAAGCAGTTTGTGCATTTGAATAATTCTTCCTCTGTTTTTCATTACATTTTTTTCTGTCTCCATAAAAGCTCCAAGGAAACACTTTTGGCCCAAAAACCGTGGCAGCTTCTGCCACTTTGTCCTGTATAAGGAGAACAAAGACACCATGGATGCTATCAATGTGCTTTCAAAGTTCCTCAGGTCTGAAAGTAGTGCTTTTAATTAGCTTTGTAAAGAGTAGTAATCCTTTTAAGATATAGATGTTAACAGCTGTATCACATGTCATACTGTATAAATAATGATGCATGTTTTTTTAGGCTCAGACCCAACATGTTTTCCTACATGGGAACCAAGGACAAGAGGGCCATCACTGTGCAGGAGATAGCAGTGCTCAAGTGAGTGTGTAGTTCTGCAAGAATACATACATTCTGTAACTTTGTGTAGATGATCGTAAATGTATGTGTTTGTTGTTACTAGGTAGATAATCTGTGGTGACTCGGCTTGTTGCACAGAATCAGTAATTAAAACAACCTTTTCACTGTTCACTTAGGATCACAGCAGAGAGGTTGGCTCACCTCAACAAGTGCCTCATGAACCTCAAAGTTGGAAACTTTTGCTACAAAAACCACCCTCTAAAGCTGGGGGAACTGCAGGGAAACCATTTTACTGTGGTCATCAGGTCAGCAGCTGTTTTACTGATGTAATATCTGACTTTGCCATTTGTTGGATGCTGGTTTTCTGTCCCCAAATGGACTAAAACGACTCTACATCCAGGAGACTGCCATATTTATACCTAACTTATGAATCACTACCATTAATTGACACGTCTCTAGTACTCATGGATTTTGTTAACATTTTACAAGTCCTTTTTTAATTAAACATGTCTTTTTTAAATAAATAAATAAATAGTGATTCAAAATGGTCAGAGTGAAAAATTGTTCAGGTATACAGTGTCTTGTTTATCACTAACTTTTTGATGACAAAATGGCCTGTTGTTTTATACGTCGATGCATTTGCATATCAGGAACATCTCAGGTACTGATGAGCAGGTCCATCAGGCCATGACATCCCTCAGGCAGACAGGATTCATCAATTACTATGGCATGCAGCGCTTCGGCACCACAGCTGTGCCCACGCAACAAGTTGGCAGGTGAGGATGTCATGGCATGGAAATGCTTGCATGAATTGTGACAAGATGGTATAAATGATTACACAACATAATTTAAAAGGCTTGTAAACTCAAGTGTTTTCTTTTGCTTTTGTTTGGTACAGGGCTATTCTGAAAAACGACTGGAATGAGGTGGTGGATTTAATTCTGAAACCTCGTCCTGGAGGTAATGAAAGTGCCTCACTCTCTTTTCCTCTGTCTGTGAAGTGCTTCAGAAGTATTTCAAACTTGCCTTCGTCTTGATTGCTTTCTACAGCAGAGAAAGAATTTCTGGTCCGCTGCAGGGAGGAGTGGGCAAAGACTCAGGACCCAGAGGCAGCACTGAAAAAGTTGCCCAATAAACGCTGCGTGGAAGGACAGCTGCTGAGAGGCCTGTCTATGTATGGGAAGAAAAACATCGTGACTGCCTTTGGACTGGTTAGTTTTCTATCACTAATGCTGCTAGGCTGAAATGATAACAAGAAAATAACTTTTCTTCAGTAGCAAGTCAGAGTGCTCTTTTAAACAAGCTATCACTAAAATATAATTACTCTGGGCAGATTTGTGAATATGTAAGAACACTCCACTGCTTTAATATTGCAGTCCTATACCATTACTAACCCACAACAGAAAAACAGAACCGGATATATCTTTTTTTTAATTCCACAAATTCATCTTTATTGACAAAACCTAGTCTCTGTGTTATCCATAATACAACTTATCTGTTGACTTATTGATCAAGGTGCCGCTAGCCTCAAGCAGAGAGAAGGTGTGAGCGTGTTCAAGTGGCTTTACTTTATCAGGTGCTCTCTCACTTCCATTTTCTTCCAGATCCCCCGTAACAACCGCCTGATGTACATCCACAGCTACCAGAGCGTGGTGTGGAACACCATGGTCAGCCGCAGAATCGAAGCCTTCGGCCTGAAGGCTGTGGAGGGCGATCTGGTGCTCAGAGGAAGTAAGTAATTCACCTTTTTATTCAGCTGCCTAACACTGATTATTAAAGGAATACTCTTGCATTGTGAGAAATGGGCTTGTTTGCTTTCTTACCTGAAAACAAAACAAAAAAAAAAGACAGATTGCACCTTTTACATTTTGGGTTTTGTACAGACTCATCAAACAAGATATAAAATGTCTTCAGCTTTAGAAGGTGGTAGGTGGTGTAAACGCAATCTGTACAAGGCGGCCATAGTCTGAGGAAAAAATGAATTTGAATCCACCTTGTCCTGTCAAGCGAGCCGGAAAAAGGGAAACGGTAGTAGCGATAATGAAAGCTCATTCGGTAACATTGCATCTAATTGACCTGTGGACTACAGTACGAAGCAAGTTTAATGGGTTGGTGAAGTATATTGAGCCTAAAGCCAGAGTTTTTAGCGTCACAAACATAGCTCTCTTTTTTTTCTCGACTATGTTCTCTGTGAGCACTGTAGTTTCTCAGCCAAATTAATCTGTTACATCTGCAGACCTGTTAAGCCATACAATTATAGTACTACTAAACAAAGACATGCAGTTACAAGAAGCAAACTGTTTTGCTTTGACACAGAAACTCACAAGTAGCCTATTCATTTTGTGAGGTATAGATGTATAAATATGTCATTATGCTTGGTCCTGATGTACTGCCAAGTCTTTTTTACACTGCTGGTACTGCAGCTAATAGAAATCAGATTAGAAAATTGAATAGTCTATTGATGTTTGTTGCTTTACAAAGTACATTTATCTCTATGTTGAATTTTTGCCCTGATCATAATTTCTCTGAAGAATACATAAGACCACTTTAGATGTTAAGCAGGCTCAGTGTTTTCAAACCCCACAGATTATTTTGCAGTTCCTCCACCTCCATTAAAAAGCAACCAAAGCATTTCCACGTATTTAGTTCGTTGCGGGGGCTGCAAGGTGGCACAGTTGGTTAGCACTGTTGCCTCGCAGCTAGAAGGTTGCTGGTTCACGTCCCGATGGGGCCACCGGGATCTTTCTGCGTGGAGTTTGCATGTTCTGCTCTCTCCGGGTTCTCCGGCTTCTTCCCACAAGGGAGGAAAAAACATGTTAATTGGTGATTCTAAATTGTCCGTAGGTGTGAGTATGAGTATGCTTGGTTGTCTGTCTCTAAGTGTGGCCCTGTGATAGACTGGTGACCTGTCCAGGGTGTCCCCTGGCTTCGCCCCAAGTCGGCCGGGATAGGCTCCAGCCCCCCTGTGAATGAGGATTAAGCGGTGTATAGATAATGGATGGATGGATAGTTCGTTGCGACCCACATATTGTATGCAGAGGAAAAAGCGACAGTCAGTATTTATATGATTTAAATAGACTCATATCAGGCGTGGAAAATGCACTTAATGTCACAAGGTTTCAATTTATAAACTAAGCAACTGCATTTTCATCCTTTTGTGGATGTTTTAAAGGAACTGTTGGATTCTGATGTTTTCTATCTTTTTTTTGTTGTTTTTTTTTTTTTTGTTTTTAAAGCTGCAGCACATGTTCTGACTGCAGAGGAGGCAGAGACTCACTCCATCCATGACATTGTGATGCCACTTCCTGGATTTGATGTCATCTACCCCTCTCACCATAGTAAGAAGTGGCTCTGTGTGTGTGTTTGTTTGCATCTAACAGAATAGCTGTGGAAAATAACATGTTGTGGTTTTAACGCTAATGTATGTGCTATGGTAACGCCTGTTCCTCTTTCTTGTAAACACAACAGCTTTTTTGAAACTGTAAGCTTAAATTGGATAGATTTTAAAGTAACTTATGTTCCTGATGAAGAAAAAATCATGAAATAAACAATCTGAATGGTTTAACAAAATCTAAAATAAATGACAAAAAACAAATGGAAGTACATCAATATCATTAAATGATTATATTGCGCGGTCAGTCATGCTTGTGTGTTTCTGTCAGTTGGTAAAGGTTACAGGGAGATGCTCTCTGCAGACGGGCTTGACATCGACAACATGAGACACAAAGTGAAGGACTACTCTCTGGCCGGAACCTACAGACGCATCATCATCAGACCCAGTGATGTCACCTGGTTAGCATGAACTATCTCATCTTCAGACAGCATTACTATTGTGTCGGGTCCTTTTTATAGTCGTACACCAACACTGTTAAAACAATGATATATGTGTCACATACCACGGTGTTTTGAATGCTGTGTTGCCATGTTGAGCTGTTCACTGCAACATTTTCCCAGCTGTCCTTCTAATAACTGGCATGTTGTGGTATCTCTGCACAGGGAGGTGATTCAGTACGATGACCCCCGGCTCTCTCTGGTGCATACTGATTTTGAGAAAGTAGAGAACAAACCTGCCCCTGTTTTCAACAAAGGTAAGTTCGTTTTAGGCCCGTTTATATTATTGAGTCATTTTTGTCATATGGTGGATGATTAAGACGTTCCAAGAATGCACCTATAAAAAGCCAGAATCGCACCTTATAGACAGTTGACCACTATTCCCTTCAAGGAAGTCTTCTTGTGCAGCGATACGTCATTCCCAGGGCTCATTTGAAATGTTCTGGAAGTCCAATTCTGACCACTTGCATTTGCAAATTCACCATGGACACAGATTAGAAATATATAAACTGAACATGATAAATTGAGGACAAAAGGTAGCTGGGCTGTTGAAGGACCACAATGATTAATGCAGTGGAAAATTCCCATTTTGCGGAACAGAGTATTGTGGGTTAACAGGCATTAATGAAGATTTTTATTATGTGTATTAAGTGTTTTTTTTGTTTTTTTTGACAACCTACTTCATTCATTCCTTCCTTCCGACAGAGGGCAAGTATCGAGCTCTGCTGATGGAGTTCTCTCTGCCTCCTTCCACCTACGCTACTATGGCGATCAGAGAGGTCCTCAAGTTGGACACGAGCATCAAGAAACAGACGCAGCTCAACACCACCTGGTTCAACTGAAGCCACTTTCAGGCATGAACTGGACTGCTACTGCAGGCTGTAAAGCACCTGCCTTCTGTGGCTACTTACTGTTGTGAGTGTTTTTAAGTATAATATGTGTGTGAGAGCGTTATTGGGTTCTGTATGAACCCAAAGGTCATTTCTTTGAAGTACAAAGAGCAACAATTTATCATTATTCAACTTTTTTTTTTCTTTTTTTTTTTTTAAACAATGTTTTTACTTGCTCTGAATGTTTCTGTGCTGCAGTGATTCAGCATATTTTGACAAATGATTTAAGTAAACCTTTTGCTGTCAGGGTGCTCACACATACAGCGATCCCTGCTGCTGGTTTGTACAGAAAGATCCATTCTAGTTATTTTTAGCTTTGGGCTCACAGTGTGAAATGGAAACATTCTTGAAAAGAGAAATTAAAATTGTTGAAAGTTTAATGTACAGTGTCTATAATTCTTACATGAAAACATTTTATTAGAATGATGATGTGTCTTATTTAGTTTTTCTCATTCCATAATGAAGGTTTTAGACATTTATTTAATAATGAAGCTGGTATATCTGGGTTCCTTTTTTGAAACCTGCATGTAGGAAGGTGTCTGGCTACATGATGTAATTAGGATGGCATTAACACTGTCTCCCTCTACTGGTCATCACAGCAAAATATCCTTGGACTTATGTATTTTGGACTCTTATCAGTCTGCTGCTGGTCAAAACAGGCACTGTTGAGCTGACCATCTGGTGCAGCAGCATATGCCAGCTGGCAGGATACAGCTGCCCTCTCCAACTAAATGTGGTTACTAATCATGTTATTCAACCTGGGGTTGCCCTTTTAGTTTTAAATTATTTCTCTGGGTTTATGTTTCAATGCTGTACCATATGTGACCTGCTGTACCAAAACAGTTAAGAACACCTCATCCTGACTAATAATGCCAATGGAAAAAGTCACAAGAAAAGGTACTGAAAGATGCACTAGAATTTTTATTGTTATACCCCACTGATTTAAACTCAATTTGGCTTTTGTAGTTCACATTTAATGGCAGATCTTTAGATTGAAATATAAACAAAAGGCACTCTCCACCACATATAAAGCCAGAACGACCAATTAGAGCCAGCTACCACTGTCAAACTGTAGCACTAAAAATACGCTAAAGCAAAGTAGTTACTGTTTTGTAATCGGCTGGGAAGCACATTATCATTCAGCCGTGAGTCTCTTCAAAAATGGAAAGAAGTGGACCTGCTATGTTCTGTATTTGAATGTCTGAGCAGAGAAATGCAGTGCAGTTAAGAGGCTGCATGAGGAAAATGTAAAACTGTTGGTCTAATCTGTCTGTGCTGAACAAAAGGCCTTCAGAGGCAGGTGTAGATCCCAGTTAATATGTAGAGGATCAGTTGACATGAGATAAAGTGAATGAAGAGTACAACCACGGAGGTTATGACCCGTTTTATGATGCATTCGTACATCACCAAAGTGTCGTAATGCACCATCAATGACATAATTCCAGTAATACTACAGTATATTTCATTTAAAATTTGTAAAAACAAAGCTGTAGACCGTTACTTCTTTCAGAGAATGTTTAGCAGTTATTACAATGGATGATTAACGTTGACATATGGGAACACTGTCATTAAATCAAAGCTCAAAGGTCCAAATTGTCGCTTTTAAGAGTCTTTAACCGTATTTTCAGGTCTTCATTTGCAAAAGAATCTCTGAAAAGCTAGTAAATAAGCCTCTTTATAACTATTTGATACTGTATTGTTAACTGTGTATACTCTAAGATAAAGCTACAGAAAAAGCAATTTCTAAAATAAGTACATATTATTTTAGTGAACAACCCGTTTGGGGGGGATAATGAAGTGAAGAACACCTGAGGCACATCATGAAAACCGCCCACTATCTACTAACTTTTCCTCAATGTGTAACATTTAAACCAGCAATCAAGCACCAACAGAGAAATTACAGAATAAATACCTTCAAATTACTTATACGTTAAATGATTCACCCCTCATCAGCTGCTAAATGTTGTTAGGACCACCTGATTTTCTTTTTCTCAAGGCAAATGCAGGGCACTGTTATCACTACCAGGAGGCACACAGTTATCATAGAAGATCTGGAAGGAGTTGCCGACGTAAGTTACTCTCTTCAGGAAGTCCTCCAGCTGCTTCACCGTCATTTCTTGAACTCTGTCGCCGTCCCTGTCGTTAAGCCCATGAGCTGCAAACACAGGGAACTTTGAGCGCTCAGAGTACGGGGCGTTGTGGTCAAAATCGACGCAACAGTAGGCCGACCAGAGGTACGTGGGGACGGCCAGGCGGTTGATGTTCTGGCGGCGGATGGTGTGCCCCGAGGTGGTGACCCCAGTGACCACGAAAGCCGTGCCGCGGCAGTAGTTGTTGAGCCGCCTGCGGATGGTGTTCTCATGGTCTTTCCAGGGACCGATGTTGAATTCTCTGACCTGAGGAACCACGTTTGTCAGAGTGTAGGTGGCTGCTTTGTCACTGGGGTTGGCCTGGTGCTCGTCTGGATTCAGCTGACCCCGTTCGAACATCACAGTGTCGGAGTAGTCGTCCAGCACAGCCTGAGCATCCTCAAAGTTCTTATGAACATATTCTGAAGGGAACTGCTGCATCTCTCTTGAGCCAGACACCGTAGAGAGCTGGTGGGATCAACATTGCTGTTATTTAAAATGAAAAAGATACACAGCAAAACACTGCAAAATCTCTTCCTTTAAACATTAGAATTTCTGCTTCTTTTAATCGTATAAGGGTAAGACAGCAAATCCAGCAGCCATCCCTACCTGTGGCTCATACATCCAAGGCACATCAACTTTCTTAGAACCATCCGACCGCTTGAAGGTGTACGCAGAATAAACAGGGATGTGGTTGAAGGTGTCGTAGAGGGTAATAAATCGCGCCTTGCCCTCATAGAACTGACAAATCATTTTAAATGAGTGCTGCTCAAGCCCTCGAGGCAGCGTCCCCATATACAGGAACTGCTTACACTCCGGTGAAAGGCTTTCCTGCACCTCCGCTCCTGTCGTCGCAAGAATAAGAAGACAGATGAACGTTTGATCTATGCTGTAGACAGTCATGATGAAACGTGCTGCATGTATGTCTCCACGGAGCATTTAATCCCTTTGAAACGATGTCCTGCTGTGTGATCTCTGCCTGCTCTGTGGCTCCTACCATTTCAGGCCTATTATGCAAATCCTTATCTTATTCCCCTCTCAAGTAGCCAAACCATCACTACATTTAAAAAGCCAGTAACCAGGTCCAGTTCCATTCAAAGGAAGAGGGAAGTTCAAACACATATTTTAAGGTACTAGGAATTATGTGATGTTGAACAAATTCAATGAACTTACTGTGCACATGCAGCAGCTGGTTTTATCCTCAGTCAGAGTTAAAACAAAGAACAATACATCATTTGAAAGCAGAAATAATTCTGCCTAAGTAAAGGCGTGTAAAACTGTGACAGTATACGGTAACTGGCTTGAATACAAAACCGAACACTGCGTAAATGCCTTGCTTGTCTGCCATGTTCACATCTCTGTAAATTTGATTCAGTGTCACTTTGATTAATTCTGACTTTTGAGAGTAAACTTGAATCAATTACCTTTTAGAAGAAGTCAGGTTTGAGAGAGTAAAATAACTATCAGTGGAAAATCGGGCTGTGTAGCCAAACTACGTTTAAACCCAAAGAACATTAACATTTTTGTGAAGTTTCCAAAGGAGGGAGTGAATGTTGGGGAATTTAAACAACAATAAAACCAAGAGCCTGCCTGTCTGAAAAGTTGGCCAAACATATCCACAATAACAGCAACTTTCTGATAGCTGGTATAGGAAATCTTATCATCAGCCTGCTGTCATTGTCGTCAGGAAGAGAGCTGTCTTTAAAGATAAGGTAGAAAATAATCACCAAGCTGCTCAGGATGAAGGTTACAAGGCCCTCTTCAAGCAGCCAGATGTTCCTGTGACCACATCTGCTTTTATTATTACAAAGTTTCATCTCCATGGAAGTGCAGCCAACCTCTTTGAATGTTGCTACAAGAAGAAAATTGACACCAAAATGAACAAAAGTGTAGTTTGAATAGTGGAAAAAGAACTGAAGAAAACTTTTAAACAGACAAAAGCTCTCCTCCAAGATTAAGATAGAGCAGTGTCTGGTTACACCATAATCACTTTCTGAATAAAAGTGAGCTCCATGGAAGAAGAAACGACTTTGAAAAGACATAAAAGCCTGAGCGAAGTTTGCTAAAACTCATGCTGTCTCAAAGATTTGGGAGAATTTTGAACAAAATGAAGGCTTTGTTGTAGAAAATGTCACCTCTATTTTCACAGAACAAAAAATGAGACTTTCATAGAAAGCTGTGAAACATGGAAGAGGCGCAGTTATGTTTCAGGGTTGTTATGTTCAGTTCTGTGCAAAGAAATCAGGAGACACTATCCACTGAGTTCTACTATAAAATTATTTTGCCACATCCATATGTTTACAGTGTGATTTGATGTATCAGTAGAGTTACTTTAATGTATAAATATAATGTGTAAATATCAGCCATTTGCAGAGGTTTGATAAGATGTACCTCTTCGATGTCTTGCTTTTCCACACTGCAGCAGTGTTGCCCTTCTGACCCTGTCGTTTCCCACTGTGATGCTCAGTCTACAGTTTTCTTCTCAAGGAAATGGTTGTATTTACTCTGCCTTTATTTCCTCCTCAGCAAGCAAAGCTGCATTTGTGTGTGTGTGTGTTTTCTAGTGAGAGAAAGAGACTGTGGAATGTTTTTTAGAAACATCTGTTCCCATAACAACCGGTTGATGGCAGCACGACCTCTGTGGAAACAAACTCTTCCTGTTTACCATCTGAACATCTTCATTGTTTTTACTCTGCAGCTCCGCGCTGACCTGCACTACCCACTCATCCGTCAATCCATCCACCCAATATATAGGTTTGGATGTAACACCATTGCTAAGACACAATGCTTACAGCAAAAATAATAGCAGAGATGTCTCTAAGACTCTTTTAATTATCATGTCTGAAGGTAAAGTCAGGGGCATGTGGACATTTACTTTGCAGAGAAATTGTGGGTGAAGTAAAATGTTGTGTCATAATGTATTATATGTAATAACATACACAAAAAAAACACAAACGGTCTCCAGTCTAAACAAGGCTGCTGTTATATCTTTTTCTTTCCTGATTCACCATTGCTACAAAAATCTATCATTTTATGTCATGCTGTAAAAGTTCAACGTTTGCTTCAAAATCCAATCTCCACTCAACAAAATAAAATATATATAAATTATTGAATTTCCCTTCTGGGATAAATAAAGTATTTTTCATTTCATTCATTTCAAAGTACAATTTGGACTTAAGACCCACACAAAACTATTTCTAAAACAGAGAGATTTGTCACAGTGGAGCCGTTGAAGAAGCTGCAGCTGTGAGCAAAAGCTATTATGAGACTATAAACCAGAAAACCGCGGTGGCTGCAAACACAGGCAACAGCTGATACCTAAGCTAAATTTAACTTTGGGACAGCAGTGTCTAGACTTTTATTGAACTTTTCATCATTAGAAAAATAAAGTACTGCATTGAAGTATTACAAAATTATTTAGTCTGACTGATTAGTAAATAAATAATGCGTCCATCTTCACATATCAGAAGAATAAGCCATATTTGTCTGTATCTGCAAACTGCAGTATCACATTCTATCACTTGTAGAAGGTAAAGAAGTCAACTTGCAAAAACAAAAACAAAAAAAACCCTTTAGGCCAAACAAACCTGAAATGAGTACCCTTAATCTTTAAATGTTATCGAACATTTCACTGAAGTAAAAGTAGCAACAACCTGATTTCATAGTACAGAGTCTGGCAGCCATGGTAACAGTCTAAGTAAAAGAACTAACTCAGGCAACTTGTAAAGACCATTACAATTCTGTAGTCGGCTTAGTTATAGCTAATTTGATTTATATTTTATACGGTATAATTGTACACTTTACAGAAGATGTATTTATTTACTTGTAAAATAAAAGGCATGGTATTTTAAATGCTCGTTACAAAGTTTTAAAACCATCGTCTGGAGCCACATTTATGTTCGAGACAGCTGTTAGTTAAATGTATGGGAGTAAAAATTTGATCTTTTCTTCTCAAATGTCATGAACCTGAAACATGAAGTGGAATTAAATGAATATAAGCCACTAAATAATCTAAAAATTGCATTTGAGAATATATACCATCTTTCCACTACTGTTACCAGAGATGTAACAATAACCAATTGCACAAAGGTTTTTTGTCCTTCATATTTTTTACATGATTATTTTACTTCAAAGACAGATTTCATTTAAATGAATTGTCTTTTTTTCCCCCCCATAACCACTTAGTTTCTTTTTTGTTGCATGACTTACTTTAATAGAAGTGTTTTGCTTCCTTGAATAAAACAGCAGAATTATTATATTGCTTGTCACTGATGGCGATTAAAGACCTCAGAAACAGCATTCACATTGTGTAACACATATAAGCATAGTTAAAAATATCTTCCAGTGAACTTTTTCCTTCCTTGAAGCAGGAGACAACGCAGCTGGTTGGGCTATACTGTCATCTGAAAACTGTGAATATTGTTGTGGTTCACGGCGGGTGCGTGCAGATCAATGGTTTAAAGGCCTTTTCAGTGTATTCATGAAGGCTGTCTCTATCATGATATTGGGGTCTGGCTCTGAATGTGAGGGCTGTTAGTGGTTGTTTGTCCTCTATGTGGATTGTTACATTTGACTACTGTATACACTGTGTGTGTTTGAATATGTGTGACGCCCAGAACAAAGAGCGTGTTTGTGTTTGCACATATTTGTGTACTGTAGGCGCATTTGGATGCGTTTGTGCCCGTGTACAGAGAATTTGAGCAGCTTAGGGGATTGGAGACCCTGTTTGTGTGTCTGTTTGTGTCTCTCGGGTTTGTGTGTTTGTGGGGGGATGGCGGGGGGGAGTTATTGTGTCTCACGGGAGGTGTGTGTGTATTTGTGCTGGGGGGTGGGTGATGTTTGCTGGTCTTGTAAGTCTGCTGGGGTGGTCTGGTTTGAGAACGAGAGAAAGGAGGGTTGTGGTTTTACTTGTGTGTGTGTGTTTGTGTTTGTAGGGGGCATTGATATATATTTAGACCTTACAGGAAGAAGCACCTTCTTCACTCTGCTCATGACAGATGTAGAAGTTGAGAGAGAGGAATGTCAGAGAGGAAGTGAAGTGAAAGAGGACAGGAGTGGAGTGGAGTGGAGGACAGAGGAGTGATCATCACATCATTACGAGCGACTGTGAATGGATTCTATCCAAGCTGATGGAGTAGCCTGAGGTAAGTGTCTGTTGAGAGCTTCATCAGAATTCCTCTCAGGACGGGGCCTCATTCAGCATAGCCAGGATGCAACTTTTATATTTGCAAAGCAGCCATCTGGTGAGGGCTTTAATCCAAATTTGCAGGATTAATTTATTAGATTAAGCACTGGTAACTTTGTTTAAAAAAAAAAAAAAAAAAGGCAGACAGATACAAAAGATTCACTGGATGTGTACTAGATTGTTGTAACTCAAAGGGGGGCAGTATTACTGTATTAGTGCAGTGCGGAAGTCTGATGTGTATTTCTGCATTTTTGCATTTCTACGCTTTTGATTTTAATTGTCTTGTAGGGATTTAAATGGTGTCATATATAATGTCATATCGTGTTATTTGCTTTACTGAAAAGAGCAAGCTCAGTTTAAGTCTTATTTAATCCTTTATTTATTCAAGTTGTCTGACTGAGAGCAGAGCACAAGAGAATGTGTTCAACCTGAGCAAGGACAAACATAGACATTTAGAACAAACATACACATACAAGTATGATGTTTTGTAATCATTTGCATGTAAATCATTTTAAAAGTCTTTAGCAGATTTGTCCAAAATGTGTGTAGTTAAACTGTGACTTGTTGCCATAAGCTGTGCATGTAGAGTGTTCACAGTAGGGGCTGTGATGAAAGTTTTAAAATGTTGTTGTCATTCAGTTTTCAGATCATCCAGTTCACAGAGGAGGTCAGTGTGACCAGGAGATTTCATCAAAAATACCAGAGCAGGATTTTGGTTATTCTGCTTCCAGAGATTGTGTTGATCAAACTTCAGCTCTCCAGAAAGGATCAGAACCTCCAGTGAACTTTCATGGCAAACCATTTCCTCTAGACACAATGGAGACGGACAGACAGATGACAGACACCAACTACTCCAGCTCCCCCACTCCTACTCCCCCTCCCCTCTTCCACTGCGACTACAGCGACTGGTCTCCCTCCTTCTCCATCATCCCGTCTGTCTACCTGCTGGCCTTCCTGGTCGGTTGCCTCGGCAACAGCATGGTGCTCTGGGCCTACCTGGACCGAGCTGAGGGGAGGAGACCGAGGGACAAAAAGCAGACTGGAGCTGGACAGTTCTGTTGCAGTAATCTTCTCAGAACCAGTCAGCAGACTATGAACAGTGCTTCCAGAGATCAAACGAGGAAAGCAAACTGTGGATTTTCCTCGGGACAAAGCTGCAGACCCTCCTCCCATTCCTCCACCTCCTCGTATCCTCCCTCCATCCCTCGTCCCTCTCGCTCCCTGACAGACTCTCTGATAGCCAGTTTAGCGTTAGCTGACCTCTGCTTTCTGGTGACTCTCCCTCTCTGGGCCGTCTACACAGCAATGGGCTACCACTGGCCTTTCGGGCAACCCCTCTGCCAGATCAGCAGCTTCCTCACTGCCCTCAACATGTATGCCAGCGTGTTCAGCCTGAGCATGCTCAGTGTGGAGCGGTACTGGGTTCTGACTGGACGCCGGCACTCCAGCCACCATGTGCCACAGAGTTGCCCCAGCAGGGCTGTGTGGATTCTTGGAGGGGTGTGGGTAATGGCGGGCGTACTGGCTCTTCCTGGTTTGCTGCTGCGCTCTGTCCGGGAGGTGGAGCTCGACCCTGAATCTGAAGGTGATTGGCATCTGGAACCTGCTGATTCCACATCCGCCTTCCTTTCCTGCCAGATGGATTACTCCATGCTGATAGGAAAAGAGGTGGAGGAGGTGGAAAAGGAGAGGGCAGAGATGTGGTGGTCTGCCGCCTTGAGTCTCAAATCCACTCTGATTGGCTTCCTGCTTCCTCTTGTCATCTTACTGGTCTGCTACTGCTCACTGGCCCAGCTGCTCAACAGACATTTCGGACGGGGTCCTCGTCCTGACCGCAGGCGCCAACGCAGGCTCCTCAGAGTCATTGTCACTTTAGTGATGGCGTTCTTCCTGTGCTGGCTGCCTCTGCATGTTAATAAAACTGTGTCCCTGCTGCTGGAGTTTGGGTTTGTCCCATACTCCTGCTCTTTAGACCAGATTTTACTGGCTGCTCACCCATACGTCACCTGTTTAGCTTACCTCAACTCCTGCCTGAACCCCCTCCTCTACGCCGCCTGCGACCCATCATTTCGGAAGAGATGCAGAGGAGCTTTTGTCATGTTGTGCAGGACGAACAGAAGAGGAGTAAATGGAAGGGAGGCAAGCAAGGATGAAGAAGAGGAAGAGAAAGAGGAAAGGAGCTCGTCTTATCCCACAAGGACACAGGAGGAGACAGCAGATAGGACAGAGGATGCAGAGGAGTAGAGGGTGGGGGATGTGGCTGAAGAGTAACGGGCCACATTAGCGCAACATGAAAGATGGAAAGCATTCACATCTAATGTTTCTTCCAGGAAACATGACATGAAGTTATTTTGTTTGTTGATCAAAAAGCAGTATAGAAATGTATATAATATTTTCAGCAGAATTTAAAGGTCCAATATAGTGGCTCCTTTCAGCAAACTAATTCCAGTGTCACATGTGCCCACAGTGTATTTCAGTTTTTCAGCTCAAAATACTGCAACGATATTTTATTATACCATGACTGTAGAACCAGTGGTTTTGAAGCTGTTTTGAATGTTTTGCCTTAAAACCAAAGAGCTGCTGCTGTTAATGGCCCCTTTAGGAAGAAAGTGCCTGCCTGCCTCTGTGATTGACAGCTGGAGCTTTAGGAATGCCAGAGATAAACATCTTCATATCTTAACAGCTTTTATTTTACTTCTCCAAATGTATTAAAATCACAAAACAAAATAAAAATGTTTTTTTTCACCATATGGGACCTTTAAGTGTTTTTGAGAACAAGTGACAATGGACTGAATTCCAAAGTGGCCTTAACTCAGACTGTGGAAGAAACTGTATCAGATGTCAGTATTGTTAGAATAAACATCCTCCTCAGATGAACACAGACATACAGTATATAACCTGGTTTCAATCGCAACAGTTCCCACAGGAAAGATGTTGTCCAGCGGTGGTCTCTGGCCGGGCTGAAGCTTCTCATGTAATATGAGCTCTTTCTATATTTTGTACTTTTAATATAATCTGTGTTTGTTGATTTGTGTTGCACTATTTTTATTGTTGATTATCAATTAAAATAAGAATCAATGTAAATGTGTAATCGTCTTTTTTTTCTGTCTAGGAAAAACTTTATAGTGCTCTAAAGTGAACAATCACTGATTAGCTAGTTATAGCTAATAAACAGACAGTGTAAAAAAAAAAGGAACATTAACCAATAAGTAGCTAAGGACAGTTTAAAAAAAAAAAAAAGGCAAACAAGCAGTTGTGTAAAATAGCAAAAATATAAAACAAAAATATTACAGCTTCAAATTCACTGATGTGAGAATTCTCGTTATTTTGATCAATTATAACCAGCAAGTTGAATAATTTGATTTGTCATTTGAACTGTAAAAAAAATAAATTTGTGTAAAAGTAATGTAATAATGTTACAATAGTGGGGGCAAAAAAACCCCCGTAAACACCGTCAAGATAAATACAAAACATATTAGTTATGATAATGTAGGTATTCATGTAAAATGCATATAGGAAAGTAAAATGATAAGTCTAGATGTAGCAGGTGACTAAGAGTACTGGTTTGCTCTAATGACATTTTTTAAAGAACATAATCCATGTTTTAACTAAAATGTAAAGTTAAAGCATGATAACATAATAAAATTCGCAACTTTGTGGTTCTTTTGCATTTGTAACAACCATTTTATATTAAAATCAAATCAGCTTCTATCTAATTAACAGAAAACAGTAATATAAACATTTGTCTTTTCCTTACAGTTATGTACCAAACTCCGTCCAGCAGGTGGCGCTGGTGTATCATTAAACTGTTTGACAATCTCTAGGAACCTGAAAGAAGATGTCACTTTGCTGTGCAGGTTGAAGAAACTTTATTCGGATCTGTTCAGACTTGGGACGTTTTAGTAGAAGTCAGTCGGTGCTAGATCAGACTTGATTTCTGATTAATTCCTGTTTTACTAAGTTTGTGCATTACTAGACTCAGTCTGTATCAACAACAACAAGCTACTGCACTGCAGAAACACATGTGTTGTGCTGTTGTTTTAATCCTGTCTGCTCTGAGAGGTGATGAAGATGGGAACAGCGCTGATTTATGATGAGGAGATGACCAAATACAAACTGCTCTGGGTGGAGTGAGTAGTGAACACACATTTTGGCACATGCAGCTAACTAAGCTAACAAATCAAGCCTGAATGAATACAAGTTAGGCTACTATAAGTGACTGATGTGTAATTTAGCGTATACCACAGCTGCAATAAGACTTTTAAATTTCCCACTGCTAACACATTATTATGATAATACAAGTAACGTTACATTAACGTTACAGTGAACGCTTCGTCCATCATTTAGTTGTAACTTAACTGAATGCTAACAACCTGCTAACTTGAACGTACTGTCTGTCTAGCTTAAGCAGCCCAAATGGCATAAAGAGGTTGATATTTGGTCATTTTAGCATATGAATTGCTGAATGGCTTCCTCCTACTAGTGTCTGAATTTCTTCTTCTTCTTATTATTTATTTTAAATGAAATAAATGAACTGTCTTGGTGGTAGGAACAGAAGTTGCAGTTCGTTGTTGCTAGCACGGTCAGTTAGAGAGGAGCACCAGGACTGTTAGCTCCATGCTAACAGCTATGTTTAGGTGCCGTCATCATATGGAACTTATTTCTTCTCAAACAGCAGGAACTCACGACATTCTGTTTACATTTCTGTCCAAATCTTACAGTTAATCTGCACTTTGTTCAGGCACATGAGTGTAATTATTAGATATAGAAACTTTGTGCTGCATGTGGTTATACATCAACTGTAAGACATCACATCTTAGTATATTTGCCATAAGACTGTTATGTTTGTGTCTTATGGTTTGTGTTAATATAAATGATACAAAGCCCAAAAGAAGTAAATAAAACCCCAGTATTCATGGTTGTAGTTACAGTTAGTTTTTCTTCTTTAACCCATTATTGTCCATAGAGTAGTTTTATTATTAACTTTATAGCATTTAAAGTACGAGCTGAGCTAAGCAAAGTTCCATCGAAGTTTTTGAAATTTAACAGAAATATATCTGTAGGGATTTTCCAAAGCATACAAAATGTCATTGTTTGTCATTAATGTGTTAAAATCTATTTTAGGAACTCCTACAGTTTCCTAAATCTTCATGAGGTGTGAATGTTTCGTATTTTCGATGTACATTTGTGGTTTCCTGCCTACAATAGCATGACCACAAAAATAGCGCAGTGTAGTCATTGAACCATAACTTTGAATTTTGTCTTCTGTGGAACCAGTTCTACTAATCCATCCACTATCTATACACCGCTTAATCCTCACTGCACGGGGAGAACATGCAAACTCCACACAGACAGATCCTCATCGGGACGTGAAACGGCAACCTTTTTCCTGCGAGGCAATGGTGCTAACCACTGCCCCACCTTGCAGCCCCAGTTCTACTAATTCATAATTTATTTATTAAAACAGATTTTTTGTTGGCTTGTCAGTGTGGGATTGTTTTGTTCATTTTGTGTGTCGTTTTATGGTTACTACAGCTTGACTCATCACATCTGCTTCACTTCTTTATCTATTTTTACATTGCTTATATGGCAGCAAAAGTAAATGGTTAAACTACAAATGGATAATTAAAAAAACAAATCCCAATTCAGTTCTTCAGTGAGGTGCATATGACGCTATTAGCTAATTCACACAAATCCATACAGTGTTTGACATCATGTTTTTCTCCAGTCCAGCGTGTAAGATCGAGGTACCCGAGCGTTTGACTGTGAGTCATGACGCTTTGGTCAGGAACAGCTTGGCTGATCGATGTGTCGCCATACCTGTCCGCGAGGCCACGGATGCAGAGATTCTGCTGGCTCACAGGTCAGTCCTGATGTTGATAAAGAGCTCTTTCATGGCTCGGTAAATTCTCCTAACTCTAGTCATAAAGGGGAGATAAATATCCCAGATCACACAGCTACATTTATCTTTCTGTTCCCAACAGTGAGGAATACCTGGAGGCAGTGAAAAAGACTCCTTACATGACTCTGGAGGACTTGAAGGAGTTCACCCTCCAGTATGGTGATGTCTACTTCCACCCAGTTAGTCCTACACACAGTCATGTCTTATTTTCTCTGTCCTTTATCTGTATCACACTTCTGCTCAGGGCTGGCTCTCAGGTTGTTGTAGTCGCTTTCACTGCTCTTTCTCGCTTACTGTCCTAGAACATCTATCACTGTGCCAAACTGGCTGTAGGAGCTGCACTGCAACTGGTGGACAGTGTTGTGACGGGGAAGGTGAGGAATGGCATGGCTCTGGTCAGGTGAGGCTGTTAGCTGGAGACACACGGCGGTTCTGATTGTGCTCTGATGCTACATTGATTGACTATTTTGTGATGATGTTTTTTTTTGTTTGTTTGTGCTGCTATGCTTTAATTGATATGAGTTTTGTCCATTTAATGTTAATGTTTTACTAGATTGTCGTGTAAAGCAACAAAAGGTAGAAATAGCATTTTGTGCTGTTTTTACATCACATTATGAACACACCAGAGAGTATGTTCACAAACTGCTCATAAAACATAAATGTAGTGGTGCAGGGGTAGGTGGGGAACCTCCTAATTTATGACTCCATTTATTTATTTTATTTAGCTTGTCCAGCAAATGACAAACATCCTTTAATGCAAAGAGTGACTTGTATTACTACTCTTGCATATTCTCTAAAAAAAATGGACAGTAGTGTTTGCACATTGTTGCTTAGCTGGTGCTGCTAATGTTAGGAAACAAAAAAAAAAAAAAATTAATACTAATAAATATATAATTATAAAATTATCATTAGTCACAGAAAAGATGCAAATTTTGCAATCAGTACTGGCCCACAGGCTATAACATACATATTTATGCATTTTGACTCTTCCTTATTTGAGCTATATATGACAATTGGACCACTGTTCTCTGATTTCAGATTGTAAATATTGCTGCTACAAGTGTTAGCCAATCTGCAGCAGAATAGGGCAGGTCATACATTTGCCAACTCCGGAAATAACACACACTTCTGAATAGTGTCCATCAGAGGGGATTCAGAAGTTGGTATACAAAATACTGACTGAAAAATAAGTAGGGTTGCACCATATAACTGCGTATGTCCTGCACTGCATTAATGTATCTTGAGACCTGGAAACCTGGAAATAGAAAGTCCTGGACAGCTAATAGAAAATTAGTAATCAATAAGAAACTGCAAATAAGGGCGATGAAGTCTACTAGTAATTGATATGGAAATGTTCTGTATGAAGTATTTCAATGCTCTGGATTTGTGGGACTAAAATGCCATTTAAGGAACCCTTATGAAATAACAAATATCTGTTTAGGGCTTTAGAAATTCTAAATTTTGCATCTTTTTCTACTTTTCGTATCACGATAAACTACGACCAAAGGGTTTTTGCACTTCAGAGTAATCAAGAAGTTGTAAGATATTATTCTGTTCTATGTATAAACTACATGATAAAACAATCCCTGAATAATATGATGACACCTTTACCACTTCTTCATTCTTGTTAATAGACCACCAGGACACCACAGCATGCGCAGTGCTGCCAATGGTTTCTGTGTGTTCAACAATGTGGCCATAGCAGCTCGATATGCCAAACAGAAATATGGACTTGAAAGGTAACAGGACTTTTAATCTTCATGTTTTTTTCTGGCAACTATTAGTGAGGCTAATTTTTCAAAGGTAGCTGCTTATGTCTGATGTTTTTGTTTTCAGGGTGTTGATTGTTGACTGGGACGTACATCATGGTCAAGGGGTGCAGTACTGCTTTGAAGACGATCCAAGGTGAGTTTTTTGCTGAAGGTGTAGTTGTGAATTATTTCTGTGGAGGATGTCTGCTCTCATGCTACTTTTTTTTTTTTTTTTTAATCCCCCAGTGTGCTCTACTTCTCTTGGCACCGCTACGAGCATCAGAAATTCTGGCCTCAACTTAGAGAATCCGACTATGACAGCGTTGGAAAGGAGAAAGGGGCTGGATTTAATATAAATGTACCATGGAACAAGGTAGGTAATCACAGAGATACTGTACCCTTGAAGTCCATGATAGTATTATGGTTTCCTTGTGGGGCATGTTTCTGACAGAGTTGCTTTTTCAACATATCCTCCTGGGACTCGGTCTATTCATTTCTGTCCTCTGTAGTGGACATTTGTTTTTGATATATGTCTTTTGACTCTTTTGAGCTACCTTACTAAGTCCTGATGTGCTCAATAGAGGACACCCTGGCCTTTCTAATGGTATCTCATGTACTTGGCTTGGATGATGGGAAGTTTGTTTTCATGCTGAGACAAAGTGGAGACTGCAGCAAAATGCACTTATCTCCTCGGTTCTCAGGAGGATACGGCAGAAAATAAAAGAAAAAATATCTCCAAAATGCAGTTTTATGCTCTAATTGTCTTCGATATTCACAACGCTTTTATTATAATTTAGTTTATAAACTTGCCAAATGGTATTAAATGCCTGTTACAAACTCATACGGTCCAAAGGGACATTTTATATTGCTTGCTAGTTCTGATTTCAAAATGTGAAGCTGATACTGCAGGAAAGCTCATTTGTTGAACCTGTGTTCATGTACAGGATTTTTCTGCCAGCCTCATTATCAATCAAACAACCTGACTCAGTCTCAAATTTGCTTTTACACATGTGTGTTTTACTGCGTCTCATAATAGGCCTCATTATGTCTTTTTTTTAGGTGGGAATGGAAAACAGTGACTATCTTTCAGTCTTCTGTCACCTCCTTCTGCCAGTCGCATACGAGGTAGACCATTTTGGAGAATTCACTTTTTTTGCTAACAGATAAGTTTAAACATGATTTTTGTTCTTTAAACATGTGATTCTTTGTCACAGTTTTGCCCAGATTTGGTCTTGGTGTGTGCAGGCTTTGATTCGGCCATCGGTGACCCAGAGGTTTGGAACACAACTTATCAGTAACAGTGTTTGAAATGCAGTCCTCTTTTTTTGTGCACGCTAAACTTATACCACTGGAATATTATATGTTAGAGTAATGGTACAGTCTTTTATTTTCAGGGTGAAATGTGTGCCACTCCAGACATCTTCGCCCACCTGACTCACCTCCTAATGAACCTAGCAGGAGGGAAACTGTGTGCAGTGCTCGAGGTCAGACCACGCAACATATAATTAACATGAAACATGTGAAGCACTAATTTTTTCCACCATTTGCTCAGCAGCCTGTGAAGGTCCCACATGCTGCCACCATCATGTGGAGGAACGCTTGGTTATAAAAAGTTATATGTGTGAATATTTTCCAGGGAGGATACAACTTGACTTCCCTCCCTCAGGCTGTGTGTCAGACAGTTCAGACTTTACTTGGAGATCCTTTGCCTCAACCTGCAAACCTCAGCGGTCCCTGTACAAGGTGTGTGTCACCGTCAGGCAAACCTTCTTGTGTGTGTGTGTTTTATAACTACAGCTATTTTATTTTTCTCTTGTAGTGCTCTCGAGTCCCTTCACTGTGTCCGATCGGCTCATAGGCCATACTGGTCCTGCCTCAAACATGCAGGTAGAACATTCACAGAGTTACTGTTGAGATACTCCTGTCACAGGCTGCAGTCTTATCATATCGTTGGACTCATGATGGACAGTTCAAAAAGGACCAAATATAAGACATTATTATTATTATTTTTTATTTAATGCATTCTCTTTTCCTGTTGTTATGCTAACAGCACCTAATGGAGCTTGGAGCTGCTAGAATTTAGCAGAGATGAGGCTGCAGAGGTTTAGTGACCTCACTTCTCTCAAACTTTTCAGCCTCTACCACAGACTGTATATAAAACTTTCACACAGTTCACAACCCAAACCAACACTGACTGAAGTGAAATCACTTGAGGCACCTTATCAGGCCGTGTGCAGCTCCCTCAAGAGGCTTCATGCAACTTTTTTTTAATTAGCCAAAATCTGACAGATGATTCGTAGTGCTTCATGTTAACTTTGGTATTTATTGGTTTAACCTTCTGTCACTTTTATGTCCACTGTCTCTCTTGTTCCCTTCTCCAGCTGATCTACCCACCTCTGATATCAGCACCAAGCGCATTAAATTAGCAGAAGAAGAAGAAGAAAAGACGCCAAAGGAAGAAGAAAAAAGCACAGAGGAAAAGGTATGGCCCGAGCCTCCAAAACGTGTTGCTCCTCCTGTTCGTTCTGTTGCACTGCTCCCCAAAGATGTGACCTGTCCAGAAGGATGTAAACGCTTCAGCTCCTCAGAGGCTCTCGACCCTCTCACAGTCAGCAAACTTAGGTATGGAGCACACATTATTCATTGTAATCAGCTTTATTTTTAATTATTTCATCTGCTTCAATAATCCAAAATGTGTCTTTTTTTTTAACAATAAGGGAGAATTTCCTCAAAGACGCAGATGACGGTGATGCTCTCACAACCCTCTCCAGTCTTATCAGCATTACAGAGGAAATGAAGAAGAATGAGGTCAAGTCTGGATGTTGTTTGCATCTTGTCTGTCTGAGTGCTGCAGTGTTGTTGTAAACACAGCGTTTGCATTGCTGCTGGCTGATACCATATTTAATTACCGCTTCTTAGATTTGCAGTGGCTTGGCGCTGGTCCGTGATGTCACCATGGCGATGATGTGTGTTGTCCAGCATGCTGCAGCTGCTCTTAGCAACCGGTACGGCAATCTGGATTTCTAATGCATTACATGTTTTAATATGAGCTTATGATAAAACACATTAGCTTACGGAAGTGCTCTTTCAGATCATGGCCCACACACTTCAAAATACACTTGCTTAGTCACTTTGTGAGAGCTACATGTGAAGATCAATACCACTCTCGTATGTTGTGGTAAATAGCTGGAGACAGTCAGCTCAGCGTGCAGATGGAGAAGTTTCAATTTGTACCAAAATTGCTGGCAAGAAGCTTTTAAATCTCTCTAGTTTATCTCATTTGTCAATTTGTATAAAAACAAAGTGTGAGAATGACAATTTTTTGGTGGGGTTGTGTGCAATCTTTTTTTTTTTTTTGCTCAGAACCAATTATTTTGTCTTTGTTAAACTAAAATTCTACAACACTACAACATGTGTGGTTTACAGTTTTTTTTTTTTAAAGGATTAAACAAGTAAATTAATTAGAGGTGCTGATAAGCAGACTTTGTTACCTTTAGACAAAGCCAGACCAGCTGTCTCCACTTTTTTTTGTTAAGCTAGTGTAATTAGCTGCTGGCTGTAGCTTCATATTTAACTCACAGAGGGATATCTTCTCATCTAACTCTTTGCAAGAAAGGGAATGAGTGTACTTCCCCAAAAGTCTTTGTTTAAATAGCATCAGAGGTGTTGTGTGTGTTTATTTGTGGTTATTTGTTGTTCAGTGGTTTGTTCTTCTCAGTTGTGCTTTGGCCCCCCTGGAGTGATTTCTGTTGTAGATACAGTTTCAGCACCTGACTGCAACATTGATGATGAATTAAAAGAGAAGAGAAATGTTTCCTTTGCAAACAATTACAATGTAAGACTACCAAGATGGGAAAACATGCTTTAAAGGACACTGAATATGAGTAGTTTAAGGGAAGACTTACTGCTGAGGCGTGCATACATGTATATGCTCTTATTTTTAAGAATTCAGTCTGATTTGTCAACGTTCATCTACATGCAGGGTTTTGGTCGTGTGTGTCGGCAATGGAAAGGTCCCGAGTCACATCGCAGAAGAAGGGTGATTTATCATTTATGCTATTTGTGTCAGACTTGATTTGTTTCTTTTGATCCAATAAAATCGAAATCAATCCTGTGAAAATAAATGCCACGCATAACAAAATTCTTCTGTCTTTAGGAAAGCACTTGTGGTGCAGATTGGCAGTGAAAGCACAGAGGAACAGAAATGCAAATATTACATTCCTGTGTGTTTAAAGAAGGTAATGTGTATTGCAGTAAGAGAAATCACATCAGAGTGGATTTGTCGGTTCAGACTTTCTCAGGATTTTACTATGTCAGATTTATTTTCCTCCTGTGATATTTTAATAGTGCGGTAAAGCGCTGACTTCAAGAATAGTAAGTGTAATGCTTACTGTTAATAATGCTGTTAGTTTTACAGAAACCAGTTCATATTATCCCTAACTCCTAATGTTTAACTACATGTCTGTACAGTTAGTGTTTTTGTAAGAGCATATGTCTGTCCTCTGGCAGGGCTGCAGTGACATGTCAGGGTTCATACAGGCTGTGTTTGGCCTCTTTTTACCTCTTGGATACGAGTACGATCCCAGTCTTGTTCTTTTGGTCCGGATGCCAGATAGTCGAATACATGACAGAATGTGGCAACAACTGACAGCCCTGCTGCAGAGCTTTGCACAAGGACACACACTGGTGCTGATGCAGGTAAGCAGGCTGGTGTATGTTACATAAAAGTGCACTCGATGTTGTCTAATTATGCCATAGGGTTACTGTATTTTAAGAAGAATTAGCAGCAAGGTTGTTTGCGTTCGTGGTCAGCATTTTTTCTTTTTCTTTATTTCAGGAGGATGAGAAGGCATGTGTCGGCCCCACAGCCTCCTCCCTCCTGGGTGACCCGGCCCCTCCTCTGGAGAGGCTTCAGGCCCCACTACCACAGGATATGGAGGCCATGGAGAGACTTAGACACAGACTGCAGGCTGACTGGAAGCTCCTGCAGATCACAGGTGACTGTACGACAGCAGCATCACATTTCAATGTTTACATAATTAAGACACGTGGAGAGCTTAAAATCACCTGCACTGAATTAACCGGAACTTTTATCTCCTAAAAACAGCACCAGAAAGTGGAGGAGGTGATGAACACTAAAGCTGTGCTGCTCCTGTTTAATCCTTAAGAACAGATGGAGGATGTCAGTCAGATTTTCAGTACAGTTTAGTATTTTTTTGGCAGTTTTTGCCATCCAAGTGAGTCTATACATTTTACACATTGTTTAAAGGAAACAGAACCTTTTAGCATAGTCTATGTAATTATTGTTGTCTGATTCTGTAAAATATGTGTTTACATCATTAATATTCATGAACCTACTGTCGGCCGATGCAGTCCAATCTGATGGGCAACACAAAATGGCAAATTCCCCCACCAGCTCAAACTGTGTTGTTTTCTCACAAGTGTATGCAGTCTAAATGCATTGCTTGGGCCTTTACATAACTGTTAATTTTTTTTCTCACTTCATTATTAATTGATCTGACTATTGTATAAGATTTCTTGTATGAACTCATTATTAATTTATTTTAAAACATGTCAGAATAAGAAAAAAGTCTCCATCACAATTTCCTAACCTGAAGTTCATATGTTCAAGCTGTTTGTTTTTTTTTTCAGCTCAAAACCCAAAAGCTGTCATTTTGTTGTCATGAAAGTCTAAGAAAAGTGGAAAGTATTCACATTTTACTGCAGCTCAAAAAATCTTTTGAAAAAAAGAGCTGATCAAAACAGTTGCCATATGTAGGTCTTGTGGTCAGCTAACTGATTAATTGACTAATCATTTCATTTTATATGTTGTAAAAATGACTCGTACAATAAACCTATGATCTAATTAGAAATGTAGACTTAATAAACACATTTATTGGTTTGTTATATTTTTTAGTTTAATTGATTTATTTATTTATTTGACCTTTGTTTTACCAGGTAAAAATGTTTGAGAACCAGTTCTCATTTGCAAACATGACCTGGCGAAGATGCGCCAGCAGGAACAAATACACATGTTAACTACAGACACAAATAGACACATAAACATAACATAGAACAAAATTAAACTGGTAAGAAGCGTTGGGGCAAAATGTGTATGAGTTGTAAGAAAGTGTGTGTGTATATCTATAATATCCATTATCTATACACCGCTTAATCCTCACTAGGGTTGCAGGGGGCCTGGAATCTATCCCAGCTGACTCAAGGCGAAGGCAGGGGACACCCTGGACAGGTCACCAGTCTGTCGCAGGGCCACACTTAGAGACAGACAACCAAGCACACTCACATTCACACCTACGGACAATTTAGAATCACCAATTAACCTCAACATGTTTTTGGACTGTGTGGGAGGAAGCTGGAGAACCCGGAGAGAACCCACACTGCACGGGGAGAACATGCAAACTCCACGCAGAAAGATTCCAGTGCTCCCACCAGGACGCGAACCGGCGACCTTCTATCTATCTATCTATCTGTCTGTCTATCTATCTGTCTATCTGTCTATATATAGTATGCAAGTAAAGTGGCGTGATCAGCAGGAGCAACAGTCAACTACAGTCTGTTAATGAACGATTTCCATAAACCTCATCAAAGTCAAAAGTGTAAAAAGGTCACCACTGAAGTGTTAATACATCATTTGTGAAAAGCAATGTGTTACTGCTTTTTCCATAGAGGTGTTTGCAACCAACAGGGGAGTTTTGTGTCGGTTTGCAGCCTAATTTAGAAAGACAGTTCTGTGTACACTTAACATCTAACATCTGGAGCCGTTCAGCTACGTTTCATACTTTCTCCTAATAAGTCAGCAAGTTATGGAATCCAATTTTATTCAGTATTACATAGATACATTTTCTTATGAAACGAATAAATCAAATAATGTGACATAACGACAAATTACATGGAAAAAAAATCTTTAAAAAATTTAAAATGAAACAAAATATGTAAACCTACGTATTTAATCATTGCATTTATGTATATATTGCTTGCTTCATTTGTTTTATTTCAGAATTTATTTCATAGCCATATATATTTATTTGATTTGAAGATCATTTAATTATATACATATTTATTTAATATGGAATAAAACAGCAATTTTTTTTCTTCAGAATTAATTTCATAGCCATATACTAGCCTAAGTTACATTTTGCACAATGGCAAACTCACTTTTATTTTGCGTTATATTAATATGTTTATCTGCCTCAGGCTCAAATGTGAAGTGAGACTTTCTGCCCTTGACGTGGAAACCTTGTGTTCCTCCTCAGGCCTGTGGGTGGCGCTGTGCGTGTCTGATCGTGTGGATCTGATGAAGCTTTTTTACTCACATGTGAGTCATTGGATTGTGTTGATGCTGCTGCTCGGAGCCTGCTGTCTGCCTCTGAGTCGTGTGTTTTGGCTGTGATTGGACCAGAGGCCGGTGTGTGGATGCATCGCAGGGCGGGGTGAGCTCACCGACAGACGGGGACAGAAGCTTTCACGGACGCGCCGAAACATGTCCGGGACTCCGGCCACATCTGCGACCATGCAGCCCGCAAAAATGAAAAAGGACGAGTCCTTTCTGGGGAAATTAGGAGGAACCCTGGTCCGGAAGAAAAAGTCTAAAGAAGGTGAGTGGTTTGGAGGATGGTTTACTTGATCAAAGGCCGGTGTTTTTTTCCCTTCTGTTGTGTTTCTGTCCATGGTGCTGCAATCACATGATTTAAACATTCACCTCTGGGACACCACTAACAGCTGATCAGTGGAGTGTACACATGATTTAATACATTAATACAGCCATGGGGAGTGTTTCCTTATCAGGCGCTTCTCTATTTTTGATGTGATCTTTTAATCTGATCTGTATTTTGAAGTAAACCCCCAGTTGGTTCAAGATTTAACAGATTTTAAACAATCAAACGCCTGTTTTATAGTCAGAAATGCTCCCAACAAGGGTGAGACAAAGCCTCCCAGTATCTCCACTGGCATTCAACATGAGGTAAGTAAACAGAAATAGATCATACGCTCAGTGACCCCTGTCAGGAATGCAAGTTTATAAAGATAAAGTTGTAAGAAGATTACTGTGCCCGCTTTGTTTTGGACATCTAAAAACACGCTCTAACTAAATTCACTAGTTCTCACGACGGTGGACTATTTTCTGCCCACCCACAGGTCACACACTGTCTGGTCAGAGGGACAGCTGCAAGGTTTAACGCCCCAGTTGTGTGTCTGTGTGTGTTTGTGTGTGTGCTCTCACCCATGTGTTTGTAATCTCTGTTAAAGGAGGAACACCAGCAGGCAGACAGTTTAGGAGCCCCATTCAGATCCATACTTCACCTTTAAAGTGGATGATTTCTATTTGGATTTGAAAGTATGATTATGTGCAGTACAAATACAGATGTTTATTTCTGACTCGAGTGGAAAATGTGTGTAAAACGACACACGAGGCAGCATCATGAACGTTCAGTGAAAAGTTACAAAAGATGACGTAGATGGCACATTTGATCTGAAACTATTTTGACAATGTACTGATTGTGGGATTTATGAATCAAACATACCCAAAAAACATCTGGTTCCAGCTTCTCATGTCTGTAGATGTGTTGTTTTACTATGTTTCCATTAATTTAGAGATCACAGACAGTTTCATATCGGGCACTGTGGCCATTTTTTATGAATTTGTCATAAACCCAACGATACTGGTGGTAATTCATAATAGTGATAATTGTGAGTTGCAGCACGAGTGTTTCTGATGATTTCTCCAACATGAAAACCGCTTTAAAAGGAAATAAAAAGGGAAATGTTCAGGGCTTAAAAGCAGCATCCTGCAGACAACGCCTCCCCAGAGTTAATTAGATGATAGCTGAGAGGTGGAGTTCAGTGTATTGAGGGAATTAGGATAATCGTCATCCTGCTTGAACTTGCGCTTAAAGCTTTGCCAGAGCCTGCTTCAGTGAGTCGCTGCTGATCAGTAAAATGTGGGACAAAATCAGCACAGTCAACACAGTGATTCTGACTAATGTTTTACATGTTGCCTTGTTTTGTGCTCCAAAAGTCTTATGATCCAAACGCTGTGAAGTTGTCCAATCTGTTTTAACAATACGTACTTTTTCTTGAGCCTGAACCTGTCGTAAGACTTGAGTGTAGATGCAGGGGAGTTAAAAGTGCGGAAACTGTGAGCGGAAGACTTCTTTGAATAAATGATATCATAAAAATGCAGCTGTTCTTTTAGTTATAAGCCTCCAGCTTACCTACAGAGAGCCTTGGTGGTCCCCATGAGGTAGTTTTTTACCCCCCACATTATCTTTATTGAGTTTTTAAGTTGCCTCCAATGCTATACAGAAATAAGAGTGCTCTCACATCAAGGGAAACATCAAGGACAGCTAAATTATTGTCTAGCATTTAAATCGTCCTTTTTTACAAGTCAGGTATTTATGAGATACCATAGAGCAACACTTCGGTAAAAGTATATGACCTGACTAAATCAAATAAAGAAAACCAAACAAAACAACAACAACTGAAACAACAAAGGTTTCTCTATTTTATCAAGGGATAGCCCAGATTATTTCACTGTTGTGCATGGTTCAAAAATATAAACTCAAATGTACAGTTCACACAGAATAAAGGAATCAAAAGAAAGGAAATTATTTTAGGAAATTGCAGAGGACTACTGATGACTCGTCCGCTTCATTCCCCACTTAAATCCACACTCTCCATGTATTCCATTAAAGGAACCCAAATGTTTTGAAATAGTGATAGATTCCCCTTTATAATGTAAGCGATCTTCTCCATAGATTAGGTTGTGGACATTTCCTTAATCCAATGAATGAATTTTGGTTGGGCTACTTTGCCGGCTTTCAGCTCTAAGTCAGTGCAGTGACTCCTGCAGTGTGGTGAGCTGGGACTCCCATAGGACCTCGGCCCCGGCGTCTCCTGCAGCTCATGAGAGTGCAGTGCCCCTGTGTGGTCAAGCAGGATTAAAGCTCAGATAAACACAGGTCAGTTTAAAGGCAAACACTCCCGGTGTTATTAGAAGTCAGCATAAGGACAGAAAAACACGTAGTTATTGTTGCTAGACGAGCACAGTGTGTTTTTGTGGTTTCTGTTGGGTGTGGTGCTTTATCTTCTTTTTTTTTTTAAGGCGACGCCCAACTGAGACGAGCCGCCACTGGAAAAATAATGCACATTAATGACTGGGACTTGTGGTTTGTAAAATCATGCTGACGCTTCACTTGCACTGAAACCGCCCCCTTCCGCTGGTTGAATGAAAATCGGACAGTTGCTCAAGTCCGCTTGACGAGACACATCCACGTCCCTGCTGTTGCAGAGTTTGTAGATGTGGCTCCTTCTGTATATCCTGATAAACTAAAAAGGAAGTCTGCATTTCTCTGACAAGGCTCTGGTCCGTTTGTCAGCAGCAGGCAGAGCTGTAATAAGGATAGTTTAGTGAATAAAGAATGAGAGGATGAGTGTGTTGTCATTTGTCACATCCTGACCACTTTAACAGGGTGGTAACACTGAAAATACATTATAAGTACAGTTCAAATGCAGGTTGCTGTAGGATGGATGTTGTTAATAGTAAGTCATCTGTTTTTCTAACCAAAGCATATTGTTGCTGCCTCCTTTTTTTTTTTTTTTAAATGTAACATACTTATCAGTACATTCTGCATTAGTATCAATTTATTATACCTGTGTCTTAAATGGTAAAGCAACTAAATAGTCTGTGTTTTTATACTTTGCTCTTCAACGTGGTGATTTAAAGATTTAATGCGTTTTCATGTAGATATATTTATAGCATTATTAGTAGTCATGATCTTGAAGATTTGCACATATTGCAGAAAATTCACTTCTTGCTAGTTTTAGCAGACAACGTCCCGTTGTGTTTTCTCTCCACTGGCTCCCACTTCGTTTTGGAATTAATTTAAAGATT